AAAACAGAAATCCATGTCACTCGCGACTTGTAGAGCCAGAGCAGTGCCTCGTCCATTGTAGGCATCAAATACATAGTTGTTAAATCAATGTTGACTAACATGTAAAATACTGAATGTGCATGACTGTGAATGCACTGAAATGTGCCGTCATCCAGCCCATGCATAATTATCATCCCGCTCATCAGACCATCCTCATAGGTGTTGCCAAGTGCCTGTCTGATATCAGGATCCAGTGTGCTGATAGCACTCCCCACCATATAGGAACAACCACTCTAACCCATCTTTGTTCAGCTCGTTAGAGAGGGAGTGGGAGAAACTAATGATGGCAGCAAGCCAGTCAAGGGCATGGGAGATGTGATGAAAAGGCACCGTTGTTTATTTAAATTCTATTTCCCCGCTGTTCTTAAACACAAAACAGAGATTTGTTTGAAGTTATTTGGAAGACTTTTAAAAGTTATAAATAGTACCATTTTTAATACTGCCCTAACAGTATTTTAGTATTCTTATTCTTTAGCAAAGGAAATAAACACCAGTATTTTTAAGGCTATCTCTGAGCCACCCAGAGCATCTGTCTAAAAACAGGCCATTGAACTCTGCCCAGTGGTGAAGAGATATCAAAAGCCATCAGATCAACTGTAATATCAGCATATTGGTGCTACAAATATCCAGTTGTCTGTGTTCACTGCGAGCACCAAAACAAAATAAAAACAACAACTAAAAGAAGCTTATGAAGCATGAAGGCTTTGCGAACCTGGTTGCGATGAGCTACAAAGAAATGAAAGTTCATTAAGAACTCTGTACTTTACAGAAGGGTTAAAATTTACCACCACAGGGAATTGCTACTCAATAGCACCATCTCCGCTTCCAACCCTTAGGTTGATAAGACTATGAGGAGTTGCACCAACATTTACCTATCAAGACATGATGCTGTATTGCAGAAACACATGTTTTCAGGCTATACCAAACTGGACGTTGCCTGGGAAACTGGCTTCTGTTACAGCTGCAAGGAAAAATGGTCTGAGGCAAGAACAGTTTCAGAATTCTCTATGCCTGGCCCTGCTGTAGCTTGTGTTTGCCTGTCTTCTACCCACTGCCCTAACTTGATCAGATTCTGTGTGCTCTCTGACTCCACACAGTATTATGCTCTGGGCTATCCCCAGCCCTAGCTTGCTGCCTAGATTCCTTAGTCCACCACTGCACATAATATTGAAAAAGAACAAATTTTGAAGACTGAAACTATCTGACTTTGATTCTTGCCATGAAACTATACTGATACGGTACTGATGAAAGAATACACAAATTGATCAGTGGCACAAAATAAAGAGCCCAGAAATACAATAAAGTGGCAAACACAAGGCTCGCGGGCCGAATCCAGCCCTCCACCTTGTTTTATCCGGCCCCACACCTTGTTTCTACCCGGCGGCAGCGCCGAGCTCCTTGCCCCTAGTTAAGAAGTAGTTACATTCATACAGTCCTAAAATTACATTCGACCCTTGGAAGGCAACCAAGAGGCTGACGTAGCCCCCGGTGAAAATGAGTTTGATGCCCCTGCGCTACTGTGTAAAAATAGGAGAGGCCTGTCATACACCTAAAAAGTAAAGATTCTGGTGGCTCTAGCTGGTTCGCCTCATTTGCCTGCGTCATTGTCTGCAAATAAGCTTATTTCTATAGATGGGCCATAACCTTTTCTTCTAATTTAGCAATAAATGCTATATATTCCATGATTTTTCAGTATAAAAGAATCTGGATTTCCTAGCTCAGTTTCCTCTCTAATCAGGTTATCTTCCTTGCAATTGAGGTCAGGTACAGATTATGCAATAATCATCAACTAATTTAGCCTATAGTTGTTTGTTTGTTTGTGTTGTTTTATTTTTTAACTTAAAAAAAAGGAAAGGGAAGGGAGGAGGGAAAATAAGGAAAAAGAAACAAAAGCCACACTCAATAAATATTCATCATAATGTTATTATCAATAGTTGGCCTGAGGCCCTGGGATGTTTGCCTGCTCTCTTCTTGGCAGCTCCTTCAGCCTACTGGGGACAAGGCGAAACTTCATTTCCATTTTCCCTAGTTTTTGGAATTGTTTCTGTTTTTATAATCTTTTTTACATTTTATTTTATTGATCATGCTATTACACTTGTACCAATTTTCCATTTCGCCCCCTCCCAGCAACCCCCACTCCCTCAGGCAATCCCAACACCATTGTTCATATCCACTCACATTTTTGTCACTCTCTCTTTACATGACCTTATTTTCTAAATCCTAGATTTTTTAAAGGGCAGTATATGTTGGGAAAAAAACTCAGAAAATAGATCTTAGTGTGGTCATGGGTGCTGCTCTATCTCCGCCTTCCACAGTGCACCCCCAAATGCCAGCCCCTCCAGGTGACTAGATGACTTAGCTAGCGGTGGCCCCCCCTAGAAGTATATGGGATCTGAACAGGAGGGACTTGGACAGGCTCATCCAAGGAAACTGTAACTGGAGCCCAGGGCATTGCATTGGAGTAAAATGTTGCAAGGGGCTTCAAACCGGATGCTAGCAAACAATTGCCAAAAATCTCACTTGGAGAAGGCATGGATGAGATTACTCTGGTGGTTTCTAGCAGAAGGCCTTCAAGGCAAAATCTTTTCAGGTCCTAGGTGGTACCTTGTGGTCAAAGCCTCAAAATAAAAGGACTTTGGCTTGAAGGCGACAGAGTGAGGGCTAAATTAGTTTAAGCCTTTGTCCCAAATATGTAAAAGAAATGATTGGTATAATAGCACTGTTGGTTTGAATAAGCATGTGGGATTGGTGGAGGTGAGGTGGGGGAGCTAGCAGCCCATACTAATCAGCTCCTGGAAGAGGAAGCCCTGAACCACCTCTGCGGAGCAGTCCGAGGCCGCGGGGGCATGCCCGCCAGCTGGCTGAGGCTGCTGCCCCCACCCAGGCCCGCTGACGGAAGTGCTGTTTCTCCCCTGATAGGACAAGAATGACCCAGCCGATCGGCAAGAGGCCAAGAGGAGCTCCCAACTGCCTTTTCCTTCACTTAGCACGGGTGATATTGGGACGTACCCACTGACCTCTCTTCCTTCCTCCTCTGGACGAGCCATGAAGGGACATGACAATGAGGAAGTCATCCTCACATGAACACGTAAGTATGCATTCCTCGTCATTAGACGTGACCGCAAGGTAAAGAACTTGCTCCAGACGGTGAGCAGGGTCCAGGTTCTGCCGGTCCGCAATGCGCCCCCTATTCTTGAGACATCCACTGAAAGAACTTATCTAGACAAAACATTTCCTTTTCATGTAAAGAAATTATAAGCTTGCACTTTACTTTTCTTTAACAGACTGAGCCTGTGACAGGCATGATTTGTCAGCTTTTCTTTGCCTACTTCCTCCTGAAATATAAGTCTGTGGTTAATCAAACTCTGCAAAAGACAGTTTTTCCTTCAGACTGCGAGCTAACATAAATCTATGATTATTACCCCCCATTTTGTTGGGTTTTTTTTCCTTAGGAGTGTAAGCAATTAAAATAAAATTTTAAGTAAATACGCTATAAGAAATATTCCCAGGGTTTTGATTCTGTGACTCCACCAAATGCCGGGGACTTCTGAGCCTGCTATCGCTAGACAGACAACCTGAAACCAAAGCCTTGGCAAGTGAGGAGACGGACTTGGTGCTTTCCACTCAGTGCTAGCCTTTGTTCCCCTACACGCAATAACAAAACAGCCCGCTTGACTTTGCCACAGTGTTTTAATTTCCATTTACATCACCATTCTCTCTGTGGCACCACTCTAGGCATGGCAGTGGTGCCCATGCAGGGGGCAGTGGGGGACAGGCAGAGGGTGGGGGCTGATCGGGACCTTGCTACTTCCGAGCCCAAGGGCCTAAGCAAAACCCGACCATCCAGAAGCCCTTTCCCCTATTTCACATTCCTCCTGGAGACAGGAGTACCTACCCTGCAGAGTGGATTAAAAGGTAACAACTAACAGACATAAGAGGTATGGAGTATGAAGTAGACTCCCAATAAATGATAACGATAATTATTTTCGGTTTTGTAAAAAGAATTAATACACTTAAAGTGCTCAGAATTATACTCAGTATGTGTTTGTTATTTATTATTGTGATTCGAGGAAACCTAGATGCCTAGTCAATTTGGGGTCTTCAGGCCTCACTGATGTCATGTTATGTATTTGGCTAATACGCCTGATTGACAAAAGGCAGAATGTTTGGTATTTCCTGAAAGATTTTTTTTTTTAAGATCGTAATTATTTCTAGAGAGAGGGGAAGAGAGGGAGAAAGAGTGGGAGAGAAACATCAATCGGTTCCCTCTCCCGTGTGCCCCAACCATGCTCCCCAACCAGAGACAGGGCCCGCAGTCCAGGCACGTGCCCTGGCCAGGAATTGAACCAGCCACTTTTCACTTTGTGGGACGACACTTAACCAACTGAGCCCACACCGGTCAGGGCTTTTGCAAGATTTTGGACACAGTTTAACAAGTTAAGTTGATTCTATGAAAGGAAAGCAAAACTAGATGATCTGCATCTTAGAATGAGCAAAGACTGCAGGTTAGAGAAGGTGTGGAGGAAGAAAAGAACATATGTAGGAAGGCGAATAGGAAGCCACAGCAGGATTTCAGATCTGCACTGAGGTGGAGGCTGTGCAGAGAAAGAGTTTGAGCAGAGTGCTTAGAGACACGTTGCTGTTGCCCTCTCTTTCTCCCCCGCCCCCATCTAAAAATAAGTAAATAATTTTTAAAAAATTTTTCAAAAACAAAATTATCACATCTATAAGCCCATCGTTAGCATTTTGGTTTGAACAAAAAATAATGTTAACACTCTTAGAATTAATTTATAACGTCACTTACAAGCACGCATTTTTTTGGAAATATCCAGATTTTAAAAACTGACAATGTTGTGAATAGTGCTTTCATATGTGACTAGTCGAGAAAAAAATGTCATTTTAAAGAGAAATTTTGTTTTATTTTATATATTATTAAGAATATTTTTGCCACTTAATCATTTTTATTATTCATTTATAGTTGAAATACAATATTATGTTAGTTTCAGGTGCACATCATACTGATAAAGCTCATACCCACCTGACACCATACATAGTTATCAGAATATCATTGACTACTGTATATTCCCTATGCTGTACTTTACATCCCCATGACCATTCCATGACAGCCACTTTGTGCTTAATGCCTTCCCCTTTTTCTTCCATCACCCCAACACCCCTCCATCTGTCAGCTGTCAAAATGTTCTCTGCGTCTGTGAGTCTGTTTCTGGTCTGCTTGTTAGTTCATTTTTTCTCAGATTCAGTTGTTGGTAGATATGTATTTATTTTATTGTTAATATTTTTTGTCTTTTTTTCTTCTTTTTAAAGAAGACCCTTTAATATTTCATATAATTCTGGATTGGTTGTGATGAACCCCTTCAGGTTTTCTTATCGGGGAAGCTCTTTATCTGTCATTTGACTCTAACTGATAGCTTTGCTGGGTAGAGTAATCTTGGCTATAGGTCCCTTCTTTTCATGACTCTGAATATTTCTTGCAGTCACTTGTAACCTGAAAAGTTTCTTTTGAGAAATCAGCTGACTATCTTAGGGGAATTCCCCTGTAAGTAACTAATTTCGTTTCTCTTGCTGATTTTAAAATTCTCTATCTTTAACCTCTGGCATTTTAATGATGTGTTTCAGCATGAGTCTCTTTGCATCCATCTTGTTTGGGACTCTCTGTGCTTCCTGGACTTGCATGTCTATTTCCTTCACCAAATTAGGGGAGTCTTCTTTCATTATTGTTTCAAATACATTTCCAATTTCTTGCTCTTTCTCTTCTCCTTGTGGCACCCATATGGTGTGAATGTTGGACTGCTTGAAGTTGTCCCAGAGGCTGTTTCAACTATCCTCATTTTTTTGGATTATGTCTTTTTTCTTCTTTATGTCTGATTGGTTGTTTTTTATAGTTCTTTATGTTCCAAATCATTGATTTGGTTCTTGGCTTCATTCACTCTACTGTTGTTTCCCTGTAAATTGCTTTTTATTTCAATTAGTGTATCCTTTGTTTCTGACTGGATCTTTTTTATGCTGTTGAGGTCTTCATTGAGTTCCCTGAGCATCCTTATAACCAGTGTTTTGAACTTTGCATCTGATGGATTGCTTATCTCCATTTTGTTTAGTTCTTTTTTTTTTTTTTGGAGTTTTGATCTGTTCTTTCATTTGAGCCATTTTTTTCCTCATTATTGCAGCCTCCCTGTGTTTGTTTCTATCTATTAGGTAGAGCTTCTATGACTCCCTGTCTTGGTAGCATGGCCTAATATAGTAGGTGCCCTGCAGGGTCCAGTGGCACAGCCTCCTCTATCACCTAAGGTGGGTACTCGAGCTGTGCCCTTCATGTAGGCTAAGTACACCCTCCTCATGTAGTTGAGTCTTTGTTGCTGTTGACAGATCAATGGGAGGCATTTATCCAGTCCAGTCAGCTGCAAAGATTGGTTGTGACCACAGACCGCTACCCTTTGCACTTCATGGAGGATCAGCTGTGCAGGGGCAGGGTGGTGGTGCTCCGGCATGGCCTGTAGCTGCCCACTGGGTGCACAGGCTCTGGGGTTTCCTGGGTGGTGCTGGGCAAGGTCAGCCCCCACCTGTGTTTTGCCTGGGGCCACCCTGTCTGAGCTATAAAGCAATCTGAGATGGCTGCTACTTTGTGCTGGTTTTGGAGATAACCAGGCAGAGCCAAGCTGTGAATCTAAACTGGCTGCTGCTAGTGCCAGGCCTGGGCTGGCCTGGGTCTCACTGAGGCCAGCTGTTCATCATTTGAGAGGATTTAGGAAGTTGTGAAGCGTAAGCCAGGACCACCCATTCATATGGAAAAGCAGCTTGGGTGGGCCAGTTGGTTGGGTGGGGCAGAGTCTCAGGGGATCTCCAGGGCAGGGCAAACAGTGTAAGTCGGGTTGATGGAGTCTCAAATATGGCACCACCTTGCTGGCTCAGTTGGGTAAGAGTTCAGAATAGGACAATGGCCTCTGCTTGCCTTGATGCCAGATACTTGTTTCTCCCTAAACACTACTGGTACCTTTCAAGCTTCTACCCCACTGCTGCAGCTCAGAGGGAGTGAGCCTGAGAAGGTGAGTCCATGTGTGGGTTCTTTAAGAGGAACTGCTTAGGGCTCTAGCAGTTTCCTCCACTGACTCAATCCTGGCTGGGTTTTGCAACCAGAAGTTGTGGGGACTTATCTCCCTGGCACTGGAACCCTGGCCTGAGGGGTCTGGTGTGGGGCTAGGACTCCTCCATCCTGAGATATCCCTCCCAAATTTCAAGAAGATTTTCAATTTCTTGTTTTCTCTCTTCTCCTTCTGGCACCCCCTGACACAAATATTGATTCTTAAAGTTGTCCCAGAGGCTTCTTACACTATCTTCATTTTGGGTGGTTCTTTTTTCTTTTTGCTGTTCTGAGTGGCTGTTTTTTTCCTTCCTTACGTTCCAAATCACTGATTTGATTCTTGGCTTCATCTACTCTTCTGTCGATTCCAATATTCTTCATTTCAGTTAGTGTAGCCTTCAGTGTTGACTGGTTCTTTTTTGGTGGTTTCTGTGTCCTTTTTCATGCTTTTGAAGTTCTCACAAAGTTTCTTGAAGTTCTCACTAAGTCTGTGAGCATCCTTACAACCATTGTTTTGGACTCTGTATCTTGTAGTCTGCTTGCCTCTGTTTTATTTAGTTCTTTTTCTGGAGATTTTTTCTGTTCTTTCATTTGGGACCTATTTCTTTGTCTCTGCATTACGGCTGCTTCCCTGTGTTTGTTTCCATGTATTAGGTGGAGCTGCTCTGTCTCCCAGGCTTGGTAAGCAGGTATCTGGTAGGGTTCAGTGGCACCGCCTCCCCGGTCACCCAAACTGGGCACCACAGGTGCACCCCTGTGTGGGCTGCATGCACTGTCTTGTAATTGGGGTTTGATTGCTGTTAGCAACATAGGGAGCAGTTGACCCCCCCAGGCGTGTTGGCTGTGAGGTCCATTTGGGACTATAGCAGAGGAGCTGCTGTGCCGGAGCCAACCCCACAGAGCAGGACTTGCTTCAGTGGGCTTTGGTGCGCACCAAGACTGCCCCTGGAATGTGTCGCTCATGGAGGTGGTAGGTTTGTAATCTGGCATGGTCTGAAGCTGTCCACTGGATGCACTGGCTTTGAGACCTCCTGGGAGGTGTAAAGTCAGCCGCCATCTATGCCCTGTCTGGGCCTGCCCAGTATGATCTACAGTGTGATCTGCAGGTGGCTGCTGGTTGTGCTGAGCTCGGAGGTGCCCAGGAAAGGCCAAGCTTTGAACCAAGGCTGGCTGCCACCTGGGGCCACTTACTGAGAAGTATGGGGTATGCCAAGGCCAGATGCTGCTTGTTTGCAGTTTGTGAACCTTTGAGAGGTTTTCAGAAAGTCTGCATCAGGAGCCAAGACAGGCAGTTTGTATGGAAAAGCCACTTGAAACAGCTTGGGTGGGCCCACAAGTTGGATGGGGCAGGTTCTCAGGGAATCACCAGGGCAGGGTCAACAGTGTTAGCCAGGCTGATGGGCACTCAGATATAGCACCCACCAGTCTCTCTCTCTCTCTCTCTCTCCCTCACTCCGTGTATGTTTGGTGGGGAATCTCAGAAAAGGAACAATGACCTCTGCCAGCATTTTTGTCTGGCAGAAAGCTGCCCCTCCAACTCTTACCCCAATGCGAAACAATTCAGTTCATCCCTGTATGTCCCTGGTGCCTTTCAAGCTGCTGCCCCAGTGCTAGAGCTCAGAGGGAGCAAGTCCAAGTAAGTCCGTGCACGGGCTCTTCAAGAGGAACTGCCTGGGACTCCAGAAGCCTCTGTAACACTGAGCCACACTCTACAGCCAGAAGTTACGGGGACTTCTCTTTTTAGTACTGGAACCCTGGGCTGGGGAACTTGGTGTGAGGATGGAACAGCTTGCACCTCAGTGGTGACCTTGACAGCTGAGATATGCTTTCCAATTTTTACCCAACACGTGTGGGTGTTGGACCATCCTTCCTGCATCTGTACCCCTCCTACTAGTCTCAACGTGGCTTCTTTAAATCCGTACTTAGAGGACTCCCATTCAGCTAGATTTCAGGTGGTTCTGAATGATGATTATTCTGTAGTTCAGTTGTAGTTTTATGAGGTCGTGGAAGGATTCAAGTACTGTGTTTACCTATGCTTCCCTCTTGACCGAAAGTCCCGAAGAGATTTTTAAAATGCAGATCATGAATGTGAAAGGTAAAGGAAGATTCTCTGCCAGCCTCTGTGATTAAAAGAGAGATGATGCCCCAGCATACTTATGGTCTAGGATAAAGCATTCTTATTTGCATACTTCATGCTAATGTGGGCTGAGGAAAGGAAGAGTTGAAACTAATAAATAGCTAAGTCAACTAATTGGTGACATAAAACCTAAATAGACTGTCTGAGAGCTACTAGCCTGGGGTTTGATGAAGCCATCCTCTTACAGATGTGGTGATCAGGTAAAGTTTAGAGAACCAGATGACAAAATACTACCCAGCCTTTAGAAAGAAGGAAACTTTCACATACTACAACATGAGTGAACCTTGAGAACATTATATTAAGTGAAATATGTGAATCACAAAAAGACAAATAATGTATGATTTCCTTCTATGAGGTATGTAAAGCAGTCAAATTCATAAACAGAAAGGAGAATGGTGGCTGCCAGGGGCTGGGAAGAGGGATAAAAGAAGAATTGTTGTTTAATGGAAATACAGTTTCAGATCTACAAGGTGAAAAAATTCTAGAGATCTGTTTCACAACAATGTGAATATACTTAACACTACTGAGCATACACTTAAAGTGGATAAGATAGTAACAACAAAGAGAAAGAGAAAAGGGGAGGCACAGAACTGGAATCAGAAAACTAAGCCAGTGGTTTGGAGTCTTCTAATAAAATGTAATATTGTTTAGAGGTGAAGGACATTGCTAAATAATTCAAGGCCAAACTCCCCCAGCGTATTAAATTCTTCGTAAAAGGGCTTATAACTTTTTATTTTTTACTGAAATTCATGTACTGTGGCACTGGGTCAGTGGGACCAAGACTCAGGACTCCAGCTCTCAATCCAGGTTGAGCTGTTAGCCTGGCTGTGTGATTTAGGTGGCCACTGACCCCACTTGGCCCGAGGGTGGTCTCTGTCACCCTTCCCACTGTTACAGCCAGTTTCTGAAAGATAGCACTCCAGTCCCAGAGCTGTGCCCATCCCACAGGGCACTTTTCGTGTTAACATTTTATTCAGTGGTAGCCCTTTAAGGTACATTTTTATATTACTAAGTTAGTAATATAATTTTGTAATTATATTTTATTTTATTAAAGCATGGGTGTCCGTATACTACTTCCTACAATAAATTGAGCATCTATGAAATGCCTTGCACTCTGCTTAGCACTTTGCATAGTCGATGTCCACAACTGGAATTGGGCCAGAGTATTAAGCAACTTTTCCAATCACACAGCTCATGGGTTACAGACTTGGGACTCTCAACTCTTTCTGCCTGCAAGCAGGCCATGCTCTGAACCCAAAGCTAAACTGTAGCAGAATGCAGAACTTGCATAAAACATAAGCATTCTAACAAAGTTTGTAGAAAAGTTTAAGAAATCTAACAGAACGGAGTCTTTTATAAATTTGCTTCTCAAATTCTATCCATCTTGGCAAAAGCAAAAATATGGCTCCTTTCCACCCATAACCTCCCAAATCCCAACGCTCTAGTCTTGCTGCTCAACAGCACACGACTTTGCATGTACTGACTTAGAGAATGTAGTCCAGGTACGAAATCGAACTCATGAGAAGGTCTGATCCCCAGTCTCCAAATCCTGAAAGTCAGGGACGTGCTTGTGCTCCCATAGAGGCAAATCCTTCGTGTGCGCTGAGTGCTGACTGCCAATGCTTCGGAGAGAAACGACCAAAAATATGTAAACTGTTTCAAGTCGGACAAGCAAATAAAACACGCATTGTTTTGTGAGTTGCCCAATTTGGTTCTTTTTCTTAAGGTAGTCAGGCACAGAACACAGACACACACCAGCTGGCTGAGCTAAGTTTATTTATAAGTAAGTATTTAGTGGCCTGATTCTGGCCCACTTGATGCACTCTGTTCCAAGAAGATAAGGAAAATAAGTGTTCCTTGAAATAGAAAATATGGTCAAAATGATAATGGCTTTTAAAGATAAGTTTAAATTGATCTGTGGCTGGAACTATTAAAGGGTTATTAATATTAAAGGAACATTATTTTTGCCCTTATGTTTAGAGTATTTTTCACTGTCTAATTAAAATATCTGGCTTTTATGGGTTTGGTTTTAAATAAATTATGGCTTTAAATAAATTATAAATTTGTAATGGCATACTAACATACATTAATAGAAACCAAAAGGCAAAACTCCAGTCCTGACTAAGTGTGACTGTTGCCCACTCTGGACTTGCACCCACATGGCTGAAACGGACCAGAGAACACCTAACCCCCGTGCCGAGCACCCTCAGCTCAACTAAGGGCTCCCAGCTTAAGTGGATCTCCCTGCTACTCAGTGATTACAGTCTCTCCCATCTCCTAGTCACCTGTGTCATATTTTCTTGTTCCTCAGAGCTCTACCACCACATTCCCCAGATTCACTCTCCGCTGGTGACCTTGACCTATTTCACTGACAAAACACAGTCAGGACCACCACACCCACCCATACACCAGCATTATGCTCCTGTACTTGGTCTCTCCATCCTTTTTCTGCTCGACCTGTCCTAGCACCTATTCAAGGTGAACCCCTCTACTTGGGGACCAGATCCAAATCCTTTCGCCAACTCAAGCACATTGTTTCAGCAATTTCCCCCCATTCCTCCTGCATTATCTTTTTTTTCCTTATTTCTTGAATCATTCCCATAAACATACAAACATGCTATTATTGTTCCCATCATAAAAGAAAATAAAACTCTCCTAACCCCACTTCCCCCTCCACCTAACTTCTCATTCTCTGCTTCTCTTTATAGTGAAACTCATGGAGGGTGTACTGTCTCCAATTCTCTCTTAACCACTCTAATCAGCCTTTGTCCCCACCACTGTATCAAGGTCACCAAAGTCCCACAGGATGTATTATAGCCAATGGTCAA